TCACTGACATGAAAGGACCTTCATCTATGCCCATGGTTCTGGTTACTCTTGCTCTGCTGGTGCATCCTTGGTTAGTTTCACTTACCAAACCAAGAGCTCTTTTTTTTTTTTTTTTTTTCCCTCCCCATGCATTAGAATCAATCATAGAATTGCTCAGGTTGGAAAAGATTTAAAGATCATCAAATCCAACCACAACCTAACCATATACCCTAACAACCCTCTGCTAAGTCGTGCCCCTGAGCACCACATCCAAAGGGTTTTTAAATGCATCCAGGGATGGTGACTCAACCACCTCCCTGGGGAGCTTATTCCAGTGCTTAACAGCATTTTCTGTGAAGAAGTTTCTGCTGTTATCCAAACTAAACTTACCTTGGTGCAACTTGAGGCCATTTCCCCTTACTCTGTCACCACTGAGAAGGGACTAACTTCTTTCTCTCACTGTAAGCACCTTTCAGATATTGGAAGAGAGCAATAAGGTCCCGTCCCCCCCTTTCCCCAGACTAAGCAGCCCCAGTTCCTTCAGTCTCTCCTCATAGGGCACATTCTCCAAGCCCTTCACAAGCCTGGTTGCCTTTCTTTGAACCTGCTCCAGCACCTCAATGTCCTTTCTGTACTGAGGTGCCCAGAACTGAACACAGCTCTTGAGGTGAGGCCTCACCATGCTGAGTGCAGGGGCAGGATGACTTCCCCAGTCCTGCTCACCACTCCATTCCTGATATAAGCTGGGATGCCATTGGCCTTCTTGGCCACCTGGGCACGCTGTTGGCTGGCTCATATTCAGCTGACTGTCCATCAGTACACTAAGGTCTATCAGGCAGCTTTCCAGCCACTTCTCCCCAGACCTGTAGGGTTGCCTGGGGTTGTTGTGACCAAAATGCAGGACCAGACACTTGACTCTATTGAGACTCATGCAGTTAACCTTGGCCCATTGATCCAGTCTATACAGGTCCCTCTGTAGTGCCTTTCTCCCCTCAAGCAGATGGTTTTTGGAACCACTCCCTCCCAGCTTGGTGTTGTCTGCAAACTTACTGAGGGTGCACTCAATCCCCTCATCAAGGTCATTAATAAAGATGTTAAATAGAAGTGACCTCAGTTCCGAGCCCTGGGAGACACCGCTCATGACTGGCCACCAACTGGATTCAACTCCATTGACTCTTTAGGCCTGGCCATCCAGCCAGTGTTTCACCCAGTGGAGCATACGCCTGTCCTAACTGTGGCAGCCAGCTTCTCCACAAGAATGTTGTGGGGGACAGTGTCAAAGGCTTTACTGAAGTCCAGGTAGACCACATCGACAGCCTTACCTTCATCCACTAGGTGGGTCACCTTGTCATAGAACGAAATCAGGTTTGTCAAACAGGCTCTACCATTCATAAACCCATGCTGACTGGGCCTGATCCCCTGGTTGACTTTTAATTGGTCCAAGATGGCTCCTGAGATTATCTGTTCCATAACCTTCCCCAGCACCCAGGTGAGACTGATAGATCTGTAGCTACCAGGATCATCTTTCTGGCCCTTTTTGAAGATGGGCATCACGTTTGCCAGTCTCCAATCCACCAGGACATCCCCAGTTATCCAGGACTGCCAACGAATGATGGAAAGTGGCTTCAACAACATCTGCCAACTCCTTCAGCACTTGAGGGTACAATCCATCCGGCCCTGTGGACTTGTGAACACCCAGCTTTTGGAGCAGGTCCAAAACCATCTCATTGTGGACTGTGCAGGGCCTATTCTGCTCTCCATCTGTATCTGCCAGTGCAAGGGGCTGCGTGCCCAGGGAGTAACAAGTCTTACTATTAAAGACTGAAGCAAAGAAAGCATTAAGCACCTCAGCCTTAGCCTGATCCTTGGTCACCGACAAGGGATGGAGATTCTCCCTAGCCCTCCTCTTGCTGTTGATATATTTGTAGAAATATTTATTGTTGTCCTTTACTTCAGCAGCCAAGTCCAGTTCTAGCTGGGCTTTGGCTTTTCTAATTTTCTCCCTGCATTGAAGTCCTTTGGTTTGTTCAGCCCAGAGGAGCTGAAAGGAGGCCTGATGACAGCAGCAGCTCCCCACAGGGAGCGGAGGGGCAGCGCTGAGCTCTTCTCTGTGTGACAGATACAGGGTTTGAGGGAATGGCATGGAGCTGCGTCAGGGGAGGGCAGCTGGGGGTTAGGGACAGGCTCTGCACCAGAGGGCGGTGGGCATGGCCCTCGGAATCAGAGTTCAGGAAGTGTTTGGTCATTGCTGTCAGATGTAGGGTTTGAATTCTGGGTGGTCCTGTGTGGTGCTGAGTGTTGGACTTGACCCTTACAGGTCCCTTCCAACCCAGGGTACTCTGTGATTCTGTTATGTTCTCCCTATGGTTTCAAGGGCCCTGCTGACCCCCAGAAGTAGCTCAAGCCTGAAGAGCCAGCCACGAGCGCCACTGCAGCTGCTGCACCTATTTGGTGTTTTTGTGCAGCGAGGCTCCGGAGCTCAGCTCTGCTGCTTTGCTCCATGTGAAGGCAGGCTGCGTGCATTTGTAACAGTAAAAATAGGTGCACTGCAGGCAGTCACTGACCTATTTAAAGGCAGGTGTGGGAGTTAAGATGAACAAGTTTTCTTCGTAGTGCTTCACAGCATATTTCCTGCTTTACTTACTTAGGCTTCTCAGTGTCCGGTGCTTGGCCAGGGCCTCGTGCCATGTAGGGAACCAGTTTCCTTCCTCAGTTGAAGTGATTAGCAGTGCTGTCAGTGGCTGAAAGGACAAAATGGCCCTCTGAGCTTGCTGCTCACCCAGTGAGAAAAGATTTTAGTTTGCCTGCCAACTGCGAGTTACTTCATTTTTCCCTCTACTTGTGGTTTCTGTTAAGCCGCACAAGGTGTTTTTTGTCAGAGAATTTTGCATCTTATGTGAATAAGAAAGGGAAGTAATCTCCCCTGAAGTTCTGTGGTGTTGTGAGCATTCATTAGTTGATGTTAGACAAGATTAAACACTAACTTTGAAAAATACCTTAGGTATAGAATTTAGGAGAGTTGATGCTAAGAAGCGACTGCTGATGGATGGCAGCAAGGACAGGGCATGTGCTGTCATCTTCATGCTGGCTGTGAGCTCTTCTGGCTGGCAAGGGTGTTGGGGGACAGAAGGAGCCTACTGGGACTTCACATCTCATGTGATGTATGGAGCACAAGCACTCAGAAATATTGAACTCATAAATGTACTCATTTGCCCTGGAGTCACTGCGAGGGAGACTAAATGCTGGACACTGCAATGTCACCGTCATGCAGAGTGTCTTCTGTAATAACGGAGCTACAGCAGAAAGGCCATATTTTTCTTTCATTTTACTGCAAATCTGTAAGTGAGCTCTGGAAGGCTGCTATCACTGACTAGAGGAGAAGTTGAACACTTGCTGGATTGTGCATTAGGTGGACATCTTGTTTTTTTGAGGTTCTGAGCTTTTTTGGGGCACGGGTCTGAAGTGATCCTCATGTGAGCTGTCCTTTTTGCCTCCTGTCTCTACCACAGCATTGCACCCCGAAGTTCAACCAGCTCACCCTTCCAATGTGAAGGTGAAATGAAGCTGGACACAAACATCCAAGGCAGGTGGCTGGCTCCTATCTTGCAGCAATATTTGGAAAGACAATTTCTTTAAGTAATTGCAGCTGCAGAGAAGGAAACGAAAGTGTTTCTTTAAATACTTTTCTTTCTCCCCTGCCCCCTGCATGGCTGCAAGTGTCTAAAGACTCACTTCACTGCTTTTCTCAGAGAAGGCTATTTCTGTTGCATCGTAGATCAATTTAGGACTGTCCTATGTACAGTAAAGATAGGACGGTTCTATGGTACCTGAGTGAACTTACAGATCTCTGACACTAAAAGTGTGAGGGAGATTTCATTGTCATTGCCAAGGAGTCTGAGGGACTGCTGGCTGAAATTAGGAATTATCAAGCAAAGATAAATTGTTTGAATAATAGTACAGATCGCAATGCAAGGGTTTTAACCATTTCTTAGAAGCATGCTTATACACACAGCTGGACTTTGGGGAGCTTCCTTAACTTAATGGGCTGTTTAAGTCCAAAGAAACAGCACAACAGCATTAGAGCTGCAGCTGCATCCTGAACTCCTGTCACCGTTGTTCCCAAGCGCATCTGCTAAGTGTGTCTGAAAAAAATCCAGTTCTTTGGCTCTCATGCTGTGGCAGTTTCTGCTGCCTTGCTTGTGTAATCCTCCTCTGTACTCTGTGGCAAACACGAGTGAACTTCAAGTCATCTCGATGAGGGTGAACCAGGTGAGTGACAGAGTTGCACTCAGGTACTGTGAACAATCAGCTCCCAGTGGTTCTTCAGAACTGGCTTTTCAGTCTCATCTCCAAATAGACCCAGACTGGCTTTCAAGTCATATTCAGTCTAGATCTGGAATGCAAGTTTGCCTCCCATAGCCTGTATTCTGCAACTGGGACAGTTGTGCAGAGCCCTTCCTTGCCTCACAGGTGCCATCATGTCTCTGGAAGAGCCTTGCAAAGTTCAGGTTAGTAGAATAGCTTTTCTATGCAGAGGGGCAGCCTCCTCTCACACCTTCCTGCTGGTGTGGCACTTGGTGAGTGGCAGCCATTGGCACTGCAGAAAACCAGCTCATCTGCATGCTCGGTGCTTTATGTGGCTGGCTGGATTTCTCTTCCCTTTGTGGGGGGATAGAAAGAAATGAGTGTTTCCCCTTTGCCTGGTCTCTGCATTTAGGTCGTCTGAAATGGGGTATGATGACCAGGGGAGCCTTCTCCTCCCCTCACCTCTAGTCCTGTTCTCATGCCTGCAACTAGCTCCAAGGTACAGGGCTTTGCAAAGCACATCGTAGCTCTTGTTGGTTCAGTCTGAGTTCAGTCACCCGCAACCTTGCAGGTCTATTTTGAACCATTATTCAGTCTGTCCAGTATGGGGTTTTGTATGGAGTTTCTTTTCTTTCTTTTTTTTTCTTTTTTTTTTTCACCCTTGCTTCTGACATCATTTCCTGAACGCTATATTCACTGAGCTCTGTAGCCAGATCGTCTTCTCTGCATATGATGCACGGAGCTCTTTAAAATGGATTTCAACTCTCCTTTTATTTTGCAGTGTTTGCTGGTGATAACAACTGTTACTGCTGGTAAGTGGGATTTTTCTTTATGAGGCTGTGGTACGGATTTGCCTAGATGAGCTGACACCTTAATTTTAGCCTAAGATCTTTCAGTGTTCTACCAGATTTCTACAGATCAAGTAGTCTAACTACTAATGCATGTAAAGGGCAGCTAGACCAGAGTAAGTATTTATTATTAATCTTGTTATTACTTTAGTATTCTAGTGATAACTAACAATATAGTATTTTCTCAGTGCACTGTGTCTGCAAAAGCATTTCAATGGGGAACATAAGGTCCTGGTGTGCAGAACGCTGTTTGAAGGGACTGAAGAGCAATGCGGTCCTGTTCCTGCCATTTACTCATCTGCAATTTTAGTGCAGGAACTTGATCATGTGCAGGGATACTATGAGACTTAGTCAGACTAACACTGTGACAGCTTTCCTTTGGGTAACAAAGGAAGCTGTGCAAACAGCAATTGTTTCTGATACCATCTGCACCAGACCCATAGCATTGATACCCTGAGGATCTTTGTACAGACTGTCAGTGATCAGGGAAGATGATAGAGGATCATGTAAAATCTGGGGACAGACCTGCTATTGAGACGTCTGTAGGGGTGTGAATGGTGTGTGCATGACCCTAATGGTAGCTGGAGAAAAAGCCAGCCTTTATAGAAAGCATAATGTCATCCTTTCTACTCCTCTGATTTTCAATTCCTGGCGTCCCCAGCCCATCACTAGTGGTAGGTCCCTCTTGTCTGGGCTTTCATCTTTCTGGGAGGCTTCTGAGGATGGATTGATGGATGTGCCCAGCTCCCTGCCCACATTCTGTGTTCTCCTTCCAGACCCTGCTACCACGATTGGTGTGTTCAGCGGCAGCTCAGCAAAGTTTCCTGTAGGAGTTGACAGCTTTCGGAATGTCCAAAAAATGACCTGGAATAATAATAACTGTTCCATGACTGTGAAAAATGATGCTTTGTTGGCCAAGTGTCTCCCTTCTTTTGAGAGGTGGCTGAAACTGGAGAATGGCTCTCTAGTGCTGAGGAGTGTGGAGAAAGAGGATGAAGGAACGTATGAGTTTTTTTTCAATGATACCAAAGCACTCTTTACACTAAAAGTATTTGGTAAGTGGCCTTGTTAGCAACAAATAACTTTGTGAACATGTGATTCTGGCTGGAAGCTGCTGATTTGAACTTCTTTCTAAAAGACTTCTTGAGCTTTTAGGAGTTAGAAGTACCTCTGGAGCAGCAGGCACAGCTTCGTTAAGTCTCAGGGAGCAGTAATGATGAATGTAAGCTCAAGTTTGCTTTCACACCTATAATGTCAGTCTGTTGAGCCTTCCTTCAAGGAGCCAGTAAGTTGAGCTACAGGCTGTTTCCCCCAGTATGACAGTAGCATGAGGGGTTTATAAAGCTGAATCCACAGTACATAGCCATGCAGCTTAAGATTTCAGTCCATTTCCAGAACAGTATTACTGATGATTGTCATGAACAGACTGCTTCATGTAGTCAAGAAATGGTAGTGAGAGTCCAAATGTCATTTTCTGGTTCTGTCATCTGAAATCCATGAAGAAAATTGTCTAACTCCAATGCAGTGTTAGAAAGCAGCATTCCTTTATTCCTCACAATATGCACTGGGCGACTTGACAAGTAAGCGCACCCTCTCAGAGTTCAGCTTCTACATTTCAACTGTTAAGACGTACATGTGCAATACATTGGCACAAATATTTATTCTTTTTCAAGGACTCATTAATATATGCCAGTGTCCCTTTGGGCATGCTCAGTGGTATCTCAGGTGGTCAAGTGCCCACACACTTCTCCCCCATTTTCCAGCATTCTCTTCATCACTGAGACCTTTTGGCTGCTTTTCCCCGGTTTGGAAAATTTCCATTGCTTATTAGGCCATAGTGAGCAAACCTGAAACAATATATGTGGAATCCGAGGAAGATCTCCTTACACTTATTAGGTGCAAAAGATAAAAGTGTTCTATTATGACTCCAGTGCTTCTTGTGAGGCAAAATTATTGAGGCAAAAAATAAAAGTATTCTATTATGTCCTCAGTACAAGATCATTGAGGTAAACAAGACTGTTCACCCACTAAAGTTGAAATGGAAATTTTTAGAACTATCACTTATTGATTCCTTTTGCTAAACTAATATATTGGTTCTTAAACTAATGTACTACTCCCTGTTGCTAAATAAACCTAACTATATAAGTTCTCAGGTAGCCACTGCTAGCTTGGAGATCAGCACTGTATGTGTAAAGACCATCAGAGGGTACCTTACCTTGCCAGTCTTCTGATATCATCCCTTTGGCCTCAGAATTTCTGCTTTCCTTCATTTGCCTGGTCATCTGTCTGTGAAGTGAGAAGACAGACTGTGGTCATTTTGATTCAGAATCCAGCTTGTTGCTTCATTTCATACAGAGACGGCTTGAAAAGGTTCAGCCCCTTGCTGAATTGTGCTCTAGACAGCCAGTGACCATGGCAAAAAAGATAGGGGACTGAAAGTATGCAAATACTGCCAAGCGTCCTGGTTTTAACCTCTATTTCAATGAATTTGCTTGGGGAACTTTTGTCTCCTCCTTGTGTTCTGTTGCTGTGAAATTTTTTCCTTAACTTCCAAGGTATTTCTGGAGGTAGTGAATTTAAGCTGAAGATGATATCATAGTTGAGAAAAAAGATCTCTGAACTCGCTTACATGGATGTTTGCACAGATATTCAAAGAAATCACAGAATGGCCCGGGTTGGAAGGGACCTCAAGGATCATGAATCTCCAACCCCCCGCAACAGGCAGGGCCACCAACTTCCCCATTTAATGCTAGACCAGGCTGCTCAGAGCCCCATCCAACCTGGCCTTGAACACCTCCAAGGACAGGGCATCCACAACCTCTCTGGGCTACTGTCATAAACCATACAACCTGCCTGTATGTATTTGCAGTGTGACAGATGTAGGAAGCAGGCTGGTTCCTTGCAGTAGACTAAAGAGAAATTCAGCGGTACATTCTTTCAGTTTAAATTGTCCTGGTCTGGGTTGTTCTATCTAAATGCAAGCGTCCAGTGTTTGTACCTACCTTGAGCATGGTTTGTGCTAATTCCTCTCTGAAACAGAAGCATATTCAGTAACAGCAAAAGTACAGACCTCTGGCCAATGAGAAGGCTGACTCTCCTCTGAAGCTATAATGGGTATAATCAATTACCCACTGATCATAGAAGAAGCCTTTGGCCAGCAGAAGCTTAGTGTGTCCTCAGATCACGGTCTTCTGTTGCTATCTTTTCCACTTTCAACAAGGAAAATAAAGAGGTGCCATATTTTTAAAGTGTCCCCAAAATGTTGACCAAGTGTCACCAGTACGGTCGGGTGGGTGCTGTCAAGGGCTGGGATCTGGCAATTGAAGAATCTGGTTACTTATGCTCCCTGGCTAACAGTGAATGTGATGGGAGCCCTCCTGGTAGCGGGGAGCTCTCAGTCACTGCTGAGTCTGCTCATCATCTCTCTTCCCTCTCCATTCCCCACTGCCCTGTGCTGTGTGACCAGAGCCAATCATTGGTGCACGGTGCTTCCCCAATGGAACTGCAGACTTGAATTGCGACGTGGACAGCAATGAGAGCATGACATTTGAGTGGCTGCTGAACAATTCTCGGCTGAATGCCCATGAGGCTTGTATTAAGGATGGTGGGAAGAGAGTTCGCCTGGAGAAAACTGTGCCTGGGGAATTTGTATGTAAGGTTAAACACGATCATGGCTTCCTGAGGACCAGGCCCATTGTGCTCTCCTGCAGCTATGGTGAGTAATGGCAGTGCCAGAAAATGTCTTTTTTGGTCTGTTGCAATGGGAATCAAAGGTGTTGTTGTCATTGGTATGAAAACGAAGTCTCCTGTCCTTGGGCAGCTGCCTTGCAGCCTTACCACATCCTCCCAAAGAAAGCATCCCCTTGACTTCCTTCTCCTACTCTGTCTCAGACTGAACCTCCAGTTACAGACAGGAGGAAAGCTAGTTCAGCAGGTCCTCCGACCTAAATCTGCTGCAAGGAAGGGTCTCTGTATCTCTGTTTTTCTGCTTACAATTACAGGGCTCTTACGTGTAGAAACGTGTTGGGAAGGGTATGAAAGGAAGGAAGTAGCAGCAATTCTACCTGTTTTTTTTTCTTTTTCCCCACCAAATGCAGCCATATTGATAAGAAGTGATCTAGAGCTATTCTATTTACTAGAAAAGTGAAGATAAATGAGTTCAATTTTGAGAGCTGCTCTGGAAGTAATGCCTTTATTTTACTACGTTGGCCTCCAACATCAGAAGCAGATGTTGCTAGAGCAGTAGAAGTTGAACCTTCCCACCAGCACCCCATTACATGTTGTTGCCCTGTGACAGATGGCAAAGTTGTGTCATTGAATTCTTCCACGTGGAAAAAGGGACACTCCTTGATCTTCAGCACTTGGTGAATGTTTCTGGAAACCAAACAGTGCATGTGAGCACAGTGAAGCAGTGGATGGTGCTTTTCAGCAGTGGCAACAGCAACAGTGGGTCACCTCTGCTGGTGCAGATATTTATGAGTGTGGTGTGCAGGCTCTTGTTCACTGGTAAAAATGCACAGCTAATGGTGGTGACTATACTGAAAAACAGTGTTTTGTAGCTCTATCAAATGATGTTATTATACTCTGCATTTGTTACAGTTTCTATGGAAATAAATAGGAGGCATTATTTTCGGAGCAACCTACGTAAATGAATTAAGGACTAACTCATTTTGTGGATTATTATTTGCTCCAGGCAAAAGGCTAAACACAGTTTACTCACTTTAGATACAGGATCTATGTAAAAGCACTCATTTGGGCAGCCTGTTGGCTGATGAAATTCATTCTGAGTTCTTGTTAGTAAAAAACAATTTGGCAGAAATCCCATATGTTTCCCAGCAGCAGAAGGGCTGTGATCATAGAGGATCTAAAACGAGTGGATCAGAAGTTATCGAATCAACATACACCGAGTGATTTTATTATTCATGTTTTTTTACTGTTTCTGACAGTATTTCTGATTTTTAACAGAACACTTTGTCTCAGAAAGACCTTTTGAACAAATGGCACATTTGTAGGAAAAAATATTCAGGACTATTTTCAATACGCACCTATGCTTTCTGACACTATTGAGTTTTCATCAAAATGGAAATAAAATGATCAGGGCAGTTATTTCACATTTGCTTTAATTTTAGAATAGACTTTTAAAAAATGTGATAACTGTTCCTAAAGAGACTGGAATGGACAGTCCAAAGCCAACTACTTTCAGACTGTGTGATCTCACGCACAAATGCTTACAATTGCTTTTACCATTCTGCCGAATAATGTGGATGCAGTGCATCCTAGAACATCTGCAGCACTTCCTGGTCTCCAGGGATGCTGGTGATCCACGTGTCTGGGGTCTCACATGCAAGTTGCAGGAGCAGCATAGACTGTGTGGCCCTTCTTTCAACAGGAGATGTTAGCTAAGGCCCAACTCTTCCTCTGGGCTGCCTATTTTCATAGAACTTCTTAAAATGTAGTATCTCTCAAACCTCCACCTTCTCTGTTAAATCTGATTGAAGCTTGTGGATGATCTGCTATTTTTTGGAGTAGGCAGAAATAGTCCTTGTAGTTGATTGCACAAGCTTCTTAGTGGAAAAAACTCCATACCATAACTAAATGATGTGACATGTATGATGGCGTGCCACAGTTCAGAACTTCTCTCGCATCCCTGATCCAAACCAAAGCAACAGTGAAGCCCAAATGTCCTCTTCTGGCTGTGGAGATTCACCACTGGAGATAAAGAGACTTGCTTACCCTGGTAACCCTGGTAATTATAATGCCGTCCTCTTGCAGGAGACCTTCTGCAGTACCCGTGGTTCATCTACATCTTGGCAGGATGTGCAGGGGCTGCGGCCATCCTGGTGGCTGTTGTGTCCTCACTCATCTGTTGCTGCATGAGGAGGAAGCACAAGTTCCTCCCCGTTCCCTCAGGTGAGTGGGGATCCGTAATTGCCAGAAGAGTCTTCCAGAGAACTGTGTGTGCAGGTTGGGGCTAAAACTGCCTCGGTATGAAATGGCCTCACCTTGGTGGATGCTGCTCTTCCACCCAGTTCTCCCTGGCCCAGTGGAGCAGAAACCTACTCACTGATAGGCAACTCTTATGCCCAGCATGGTCCTGGAGAAAGCCTTGCTTTTCACTGTTTCAACTCACATGTGCTGGCCAGAAACAAGCACAGCAAAACCTTTCCTATGGGCAAGAAAGCTGAACCTTGCTTGGGTCTGATGTAAATGGACCTGAAGGCTTCTGCTGGCTGTATTTTGCCAGCACCTGTCCTCAGGTGCTCTCTGCCCATGCCCAGTGAGGCCACCCCAAGCTTTGATCCCGCCAGCATGACCAAGCTTGTCTCTGGCAGGCTGGCAGCAGGCCTCCATCCTTGGCATCTGCTTGCTCTGGGAGTGGAGCCAGGGCTTCGTGAGGAGGAGGCACGAGCGTGTTGGTGGCCTGGCCTCTTGCTGGGATGGTGCAGGACCTCTTTCTTTCAAGCCTCTGGTTTTGGCTTTACAGAGGAAGAAAAGGATGATGGAATAACAATGTCGGTGGTGTCCAGTGAAGGCGTGAAAAGTCCCCCCAGTGGAGACCATGTGGAGGCTCAAGCTGCCCAGATTGACTGCCCTCCAATGCCAGGTGGGCCCAGTGACTTATTTTACGTCAGATAGCATGTTGGAGAGGGTGAAGGACAAAATGGGTGTGTGTGGCTGCTGGGGAGGAGCTGTCTGAAGGGGAGGCCCAGGTGCCACATCCTGTCTGCACTATAGATGGTGCAGCAGGGCACCTGTTGGTACAGCATCCATGCTCTGCTCCTACACAGGGGTAGCTCCTCCTTCACCCAGCAGTGAGATGAAGCAGCAGCCATCTCATCAGCATCCCACAGAGGGTACAGGTTGCAGACTCTGTGCCAGTGTCTGCAGAGCTCAAATACGTCTCTGAAAAACCATCCGCCCACTCCAACGGAGCAGCTTTCCTGCAGTTTTTATCACCCCTCTCTGTTCTCAACAGTTGCTTTTTTATAAAAATCAGCACTGTCTTAATAGGCCTTGTCCTTGGGACATGATCTACCAATAGGACATGGAGTGACTGTCCCTGGAGGTGCTCAAGAATCATGTCAGTATAGCACTGAGGGTTAGTGGGCATGATGGGGCTGGGCTGGAGGTTGGACTGAGTGATATAGTGACCTTTTCCAGCCTTAATGATTCTATGCTGTAAACAGAGCTAAACCCCTTCAGTCAGAGGGTTATGTATCTCCTTAATTTGGGGAAAGAAAAAAAAAAAGGAAAAGAATGAAACCCCAGAGCTTTAGCACAGCATGGTCAAGAGAACACAGTGATAAAACTCTTTCAGAAATTTCCAGTGAGCATTTGATATCAATACTCTGCTTTCTGCACTGGGATTCCTTCAAATTTGTGTAACAAATATGAATGCTGGCAACACCCTCTGCAGTAATGCATCAGCTGCTGAATTATGGCCAGAAGAGATATCACAAATCTGAGCGGCATTGCATAGGTCATAACATGGCCTGAGCTCTGCTGCTGTTGTTCTTCACTGCACTGCACACAACATATCACCTGTTCAGCTGTATTTTCTATCCTTAGATGCTTTTTTGCCCTGCCTTCAATTTATTAAAAACATTTATTAAAGAAGCATCATCCTTAAATGATTACTAACAAAACATTTGTTAAATGTAGTGCAAGAAAAAAAAAAAAAGCAAGTGATTCAGATAATTGCTTAATATTAATATCTTCAATAAGTAGAATTTATTTTGTCTAAAAAAATCCTCAGTCTTAGCATCCCACATTTAATTTCTCTACAAATTAATAACAGCAGAATTGCATGTGAAAAGTATTAAGGTGAGAATGTATTAAGTATGTGTACTTTTAGGCAGTTTTTATGGTTCAAATGTAACTGAATAGGTTTGGCTTCCCTATTTTGGGCTGCTGAGCTCAAGAGCTTTCAGCACCAACGTATCTTACAGAGAAACCATGATGAACAGCTCAATGAATGAGTAGTTATGAAGCATATTGAAATTAGGCTTGTAGAAGCCTGGGGAGCAGCAATGGGGGTTGAGGGAAAACCTTTTCTGCAGGTATGACTGTAGTGCATGCATGTATGAGCCACTTCTCCCTTCTTTTCCAGATGCTGCCCGGATTGATTCAGGCACTGAGCCCCAGCCCATGGTGGAAGAAAATTTCCCAGTGGCAGCAGAGCCTGGGGAAATGCCAGATCAGGAGATGATAGCTGATGTGGAAAGCCAAGAAAATGCTTCAAACTGTTTCCCTGACCCAATTGATAACTGATCTGATACGCTCACTGTTCCACCCTGTCCTGAGTCCCGTGACACCCATCCTTTGCATCCCATAGTCTTGCTGTAAGAATTGGTCTGAAAAATTTTAGCAGGGGGAAGATGCGATGTGTCAGGCCTGCTAAGCTCATTTACAGGGAAAAAAAAAAGATTACATGTGTGGCTTCAGGACCTTGGGCTGGCAGGTTCAGTAGAAAAATTGGGCAGCTCTCTGGTGCTTAGCTTGTTAGCAGACACGCAGTTACTCTGTAGAGCCCTAAGGACACCTGGCATCAAATGAGTGATGCCTCCTGCTTTCTGCTCGCTCCATGCCTCCCATCTTTGCCAGCCAGATGCCCCTGTATGGGGCAGGTGGGACAGGTAGATGTGGCAGCATGCCAACCCCAGGAGGAACCAGGGAACCACTGGAGATCTCCTTAGAAAGTCTCTGATCAGGAGGCACTAGCACAGGATGCCCAGAGAAGTTGTGGATGCTCCATCCTCAGAGGCCTTCAAGGCTGGGCTGGATGGGACCCTGGGCAGCCTGAGCTGTGTGGGCAACTCTAACCCCCCAGCAGGGCTTTAAGGTCCCTTCTAACCCAAGCCATTTTGTGATTCTATAATTTCAAAGCATTTTCTCATGGGCCCTGCAAGAAGTCTGAGTAAGGCTTCAGCAAAGTGTCTGCTACGCTAGGTGTTCATCTGAACTGCTGCTCCAGACACCACCCGTATCTTCAACCAGAGAGTAACTGCTCAGGGTGCCAGAGCTCCAGAATCTCTGTTGCCACCTGTTTTGCCTTCAGCAGGAGAACGCCTGGGGCTTGGCCGCATTCATTTTGGCAGAAACACTGATTATAACGCCGAGATCGTTCATCAGCGCAAGCATTATTGCCTTTAGTGTAACGGTTTAGCTACTCACCGCAAGCTGAGCCGGCCATCTGCCGTGCGTGCAGGCTTCCTCAGCGCTGCGCTGTCTGCGCACACAGCCGCAACCCGCAGTCCCTCCGGCAGCCCTTGCTGCACTGTGCATCTCGGTGCCGGGCAGGGGAGCCGGCGGGTCCCTGCGTGCCCTGCTGCGTGCCTGCACACGGCAAGGCTGCGCGCTGGTGCTGCCCGGCTGTGCTGCGCGTTGTTCGCTTGTTCTGCGACCGCTTCAAAGACTTCTGGATCTCGTTTGCCGTGCTGGCAGTGATTCAGCCCAGCTCTGCTTTTTAAGGATGCTGTAGGAATCCGATTTTCCGTGGTAAGAGGGAAGTGATGATTTCTCTTATGGTGCTGCGCTGTCTCCTTTCAGTGCCAACATTCCCCAAAGGCCATGAGCTGAGCGAGAGCTGGCTGACAAAGCGTGTGACTCGTCTCCGCGATGACACCTGCTGCTGGTTTCCTTTGCAGCCCTGCTCGAGGGGCCGTCCAACAGCAGCAGGTCAAAGCTGTGTGCTGTGGTGAGGTCGGGAGAAAAGTGCAGAGACTTCCTGTAACTCTGTGTGCTCGTGCCCAGCTATTGTTCTTTTATGGTTGGTTTTGTTGGTTTTGGTGTCTGGTCTTTTTATTTTATTTTATTTCTTTCCTTTTTCCCTGCAATGATTTTGGTTTTTGTTCCTAATAAAAAAGATGTGTTTTCTAACTTGTTTTGGGAGTGTGTAATAATTGTTTCTTTACGATTTTCATGGAAAACGCAGGCTGAAGTCCAAACTTCAGTGTAGTCATACTAAGAAAGATGACTGCAACTTACTGTTGGCTACAGCTGGCTTGGGTGGTCTGGGGAACAGAGATCACAAAGGTGCTGGCTTGTGAGTTGGACCAGGAGAGGCTGTAGGACAGTGCTCTTGCAACCCAGAAGGCCAATGGTATCATGGGCTGCATCAGAAGAGGGGTGGCCAGCAGGGAGAGGGAGGGGATTGTGGCTCTGCTCTGCCCTCATGAGACCCCATACGGAGTTGTGTGTCCACATCTGGGGCACCCAGCACAAGAAGGTCGTGGAGCTGTTGGATTGGGTCCAGAGAAGGGCCACAAAGATGATCAGAGAGCTGGAGCATCTCTGCAGTGAAGACAGACTGAGGCAGTTGGGCTTGTTCAGCTTGGAGAAGGCTGCAGGGAGACCTCACTGTGGCCTTCCAGTACATGAGGGGAGCTTATAAACAGGAGGGAGACTGACTTTTTAACTGGGCAGTGATAGGACAAGGAAGAATGGCTGCTTACCATGCTTTTATCAAATGCAAACAATAAAGGAAATATACCTGCCTGTAGAGGTTGCAAATATAAGTGGCCAATGAGAGCTTACTTTAAATTAGCTTATTTTTCTGGTTAGCATATAACTCTTAGCTGATACGATAGATATATAAAAATAACAGGGCTGCACTTATAAAGTGTGTATTTTATAGTTAATGCTGGAAATCGGTTGAAAAAGCAAAACATTAAATTTGAATTCTATGCAATTTAAAAAAAAAATCACTTGAACTGATTGCAGCTACTCTTGGTTTTAGTGTTGTCTAAAACTATAGGAAATAGTTATATTACACATGAAGAATTAGGAGGCAATTTTCAGCAAATCTTTTAGAACTGCAAATACAGGATATTGAAAAGAATTGTCATCTGCTCCCACATCACATGCAAATGGAATAAAGAAATAGTTCAGTTATCTGTGCTCCTTTGCATTGCTGTCTCAGCTGTCATCTTACACGTTTCCCTTTGAGGGCAAAATGGGCTTTCATAAAACTAAAGAGTGTCAAAGATTTTTTGATACTAGAAGTTGTATAGTAAGACGTTCTCAAAGAAGCAAAAAAAATGGAAGAAAAAGATGGTATGACCAAGTTTTGGTCTGTTGGAAAAGAATGCCAGCAGTGACTTTAGACATAAGTCTCGAAGCAATGAGCAATACCAGCATGCATTCTCGTGAAAGCTTTTTTTGTTGCAGTGCTTGCCCTCAGATTTCTTCTCTGAAAGAAGACCTGAACCTGTACTAATGGGACGTGGAATAGCAGGATGGGGTTCAGCACTGTGGGTAAGGGGGGAAACCAGCTGTCCAGCAGTCAGTCTGTTTTCACGCATTGCAGGTTTGGGGTTCTTTAATTCAGATGATTTAGTTTCTGATAAGGGGTTTTGCTTGCTTACCTTTTATTGGAAATACTTCATTATTTGACAAATACAAACAAGGATTTATATCTTCTATAGGTAGAGGGAATCTTCAGGGAATCTTCTTTGCTGGAAGCAAGATGAGTAGGATTCAACGCTGCTGCCAGTTAGATAGCAAATATTTAAAAAAAAAAAAACAACAAACCACCCTCAAAGAGAGGAAAGTATCTGAATTGCTGATGCTGCAGATCTTAAGGGGACTTCTATGATACTGTAAATAATAGCTGCAGCTGTAGTTCCAACCCAGCGCGTCTTACCTATGTGGGTGCAAAACATTCACAGTAACTTTCCATTGAAGTTGCACCTGTAAAATTTGTGGTTCTGCAGAGAGGTTTCTAAGGCTCAGCATGTTTTTAGTGAGTAGCTGAAAATTGTGTGCGTAAGGGACAGGACAGGAACGTAATCATAAAAGCTCACTCTTCGTAATAAAAGCAAGAAGGGATGGCTGAAAAGAATGATGATGTTATCCAGAACCGCGCCACTGAGACCTTGGTTGTGGCAGTTGATGCTGTGGAGTGGAGGTGCTCTTACATGGTGCTCTGTAGGCAGGCAGTGGGAGCACCTGGTTTGATTCCTTGTTGTTCCTTGTACTTTCTGGCTGACCTGAAGACTTCGTGTCATCATCCCCTGCCTCTACTTCCCCGTCTGTGATAGAGGAGCTCCTGATACTTGCCTGGGATGTTGCTAGAGGTAGGAGACACGTGAGGTGCTGTGTGTGGTCTGCTTGGGCTGTGGTGCATGCAGTGGTCTGACTGCCTGGAATGTGAGGGAAGCTTCTTGCTGAGGCGGTCAGGTGGACAACACTTGTCTCTTAACCATGCTAATATGTGAGGTGCTTGTTTCCTTTTGACTCACACAAGTGAAAGAGGGGGCTGGCCCTGATGTATTGCATTGATAAAAATGTTGTGAAAAACCTCAGCTTGCCTCCGGTTCCCCAGCATTAAACCAAGAACTTCCTCTGCCTGCCTCACTAAGATCATAAAACCCAGAAATTCTCAGAAATGCAGTGACACAGCACCTTAGCCTTTACCCTTGCCTGCTGACAACAGGAACAGTGGGCTATAAGCAGTCAGAAACACAGCCAGCTTGGTGCCCGTGCTTTCCCATGTTGTGGTAAAGGGCATGCTACCGCTCAAGTAATTTTGTGCTGCATCTGCTTGGTGCTTGGAGCGTAATGGAACAAAGTAACCTGTCCTGCTGCCCTGCCATTCCTGCACCACCAGGAGTTGCTCCCCTTCTTTCTCCTCCCCCAAGAGCAGTTGTGTAAGGGAACTCACTCAGAGAGGCCCGTCTGACAGGTCACTCAGATGTTTCTAAGGTTTCTTTCTTAATTCCCTGGTGGCAAAGGCCGGGTCTCCTTGTGTGTAAGTATAGGGCTGTATAAGGGCTTTTGCTTGCCATCATCACTCCATCATTTAAGAAACAGTCAAATTTGACAGCAATTTTGGGATGTGTGTTACCAGTTCCGAAGGTACTTATCCAAGGTCTGCTGGGAAGATGATCATCTCATGCCTGCATACATGCCTCCCACTCACTGCACTGATTGAACAAATCCCTATAGTGACTGCAGCTTAACAAGTTGTGCTGATGACTTGTGTTCAAAGTTCAGGCCTTTCTTTGTGTGTGGACCTGTGTGAAGGCTGTTCAGAGCCCATCTTAGAAATAAATGCCTTTGGTGTTGAATTACATTACCCAGTTGTTAGTGCTCAGTCTCCTGGCTCACCTCTCATCCTCCCACTTACCTGTTCTGAACTGTCTCTCACTCTTTCCAGAGTTATAACAGCAGTATAAAATAAAACATTGTACAAAGCATCAAATGCATATTTATGCATTTGTTAAGCTGATGGCTTCTTGAGTGTCACATCTTGTCTGAAACATTACTTACTCAGATGATCATAAGATGTCTTTCCTGAATGCATTTCTAAGAACAGCTTCTCTTCTGCCCCCCTCGGCATACATTACCATGCCTATATCATAGTAAACCTGCTAGCAACTGTAGCATCATTTTCACATTGAACTGAAAGCCTGTCAGCAGTGAAATGTCATCTCTGTATCTGTCACAAAGCAAGATCTGCAAAGCCAGGCAGTGGATGCATCCGTGCAGCTGGACAAATGAATGCTTAGCCATACCTTGTTAGTCATCTCTCTGGTGACTAAGGAATGTATTGTAGTTAAGACATAGCAATCCTCCTCCTCTGCTCTGCCCTGGGGAGGCCACATCTGGGCTACAGTGTCCAGTTCTGAGCTTCCCAGTTCTAGACAAGGAACTGCTGGAGAGAGTCCAGTGGGGGGCCACAGAGATGGCTGGGGGCCTGGAGCACCTCTTGTACAAGGACAGGCTGAGAGACCTGGGACTGTTCTGCTTGGAGGAGAGAAGGCTTATCGCTGTTTGTAAACATCTAAATTGCAGGAGTCATTGGATGGGGCCAAGCTCTTTTCAGTGGTGCCCAGTGGCAAGAAAAGGGGCAACTGAAGCACAGAAAATTCCATACAATCACAAGGAAGAACTTCTTCACTGTGAGAGTGACAGAGCCCTGGTACAGGCTGCGCAGAGAGGTGGTGCAGTCTCCTCCTCTGAAGATATTCAAGACCCACCTGGATGCTTTCCTGTGCAACCTGCTGTAGGGAACTGCTTCAGCAGGGGGTTGGACTGGATGATCTCCAGAGGACTTTCAACACCTACAGTTCTGTGATTCTGTGATTCTTGGCCAAGGTCATTATTGTGAACTGCAGGTTGTCAGACTGCGCTTTCTGAAGCAGTTGTGTCTCTTCAGACCAGACTTAAACTGGGTCTGTTTTCTGAGGTTTAGCTGTCAACACATTTTTATAGGTAGAAAGGAAGAAAATGAATGTGAGAAAGAGAGGACCTGGGACTGATCGTGTGGTGCTATGGAAATAGCAAGGGAGACATTTTTCTTCAGAAAATCAGCCAAAGGCTGATTTCTGTGCAAATCTGTCTTAGAAAACTTACGTTTACCTTATTTCAGAGAAAGATAAAAACAAGTTTTGTCTGGCAGCTGTTTCAACACTGACAGGATATGATGCTGTTTTTGGAATATTTCCACTGCGCATGGGCAAAGCAGCGCTCTCAGTTTGCTAGTCACAGACTCAAAGCCTTGGGCTCCAAGTCACCAAGCCACTGTGCCCACCAAACTTTTGGCCACAACTTTCTTTTTATTTTAGTCAAGATCACTCTTCTTACAAACTCTGTGTAAGTAAAGGCCCGTCTTTGTGAAAAATGTGTAGGAGTAAATTAGCAGTGCTGTCCTCTTTCATGGTGAGGTTCTCAGATGCAGGTGAGATCGAGGTGTTTGACTCTACTATGAGAGAAGTGTAACAAGTACCACCTGAATGCCTCTTGCCCCAGCCTCAGCTTCCTACCAGATGAGATGGTGTAAATTAGCAGATGGACTAAAAATTCACACTGCCTTACTGGATGTAGTCTTTTCTGAGAATAGCATGCTAAGTGTATTTGTACTCTTTTTTTTTCTTTCTAGTAGATCAAGTGTCATTGTGCTTTTTCTTTTTTTCATGCCTCAGGCTTGAACATCTATTTGCTTATCACTAGGTTGAAGAATTAGAGGTGGGAACAGCAACGCATTGTCTCTTGAGATGTTGCCTTCAAATGTATGGGAGTCTCTCACCTTTCTATGGAAATGTAAGTATGATGCTTACATTCCCTGAGAGGAAACTCAGAGGAAACTGGTTAGCGTGCTACAAAGAACAGCAGAGTGAAAAAGAAAGTAAGCAACAAAAGCACTTTGTGGCTTTTGCAGTGGAAACAATACGGCAAAGGCAGCAGTGGCTGCAAAGAAACAGCGCATTGTATGGAGCTGCATTTGGCCCTCACATCTACTGGAGATTTTTAGCAATATGATGACCAAGAACCCATCACCATGAGCAGGATTACGGGCCTAGCTGAAGATGAGACCAGCACTGCAGCACTGGGAGGCATTTCCTTTTCTGGCCGTGCCTTGCTACCATTGCTCTAACAGAGAAAAGTTTGGTGGCTAGAACAGGGTGTAGGCGCTGCCATGCCGAGTCATTTGCTCTGTGATTTTACAAGAGTGCAGACACTGGGCATGACAAAAACGCCATTCTGTGGTAGTAGTGTCCTTCATGATGATATAGGTTGGTTTGTTTAGCAAAAGGGAGTAGTCCATTGGTTTAAGAACCAACATATTAGTTTAGCAAAAGGAATCTATGAATGATAGTTCTAAAACTTTCCATTTCAACTTTAATAGGTGAGCAGTCTTGTTTACCTCAATGATTTTGTACTGAGGACATAATAGAATACTTTTATCCTTTGCCTCAAAAGGTGTAAGGACAGCTTCCTCCTATTCCACATACATCATTTCAAAGGTTGCTCACTATGCCGTAATAAGCAATGGAAATTTTCCAAACTGGGGAAAAGCAGATGAAAGTTAGCCAAAAGGTCTCAGTGATGAAACTGATGGTAGAAAATGGGGAAGAAGTAGGTGGGCACTTGAACACCCGAGATACCACTGAGCATGCCCGAAGGGACATTAGCATATACTAACGAGTTCTTGAAAAAGAATGAATATTTGTACTGCATATGTGTGTTTGAACAGTTGAAATGTAGAACTTGAACTTTGAGATGGTGCTCTTCCTCGTCAAATCACCTGGTACGTATCATGAGGAATAAAAGGACTGCCACTTTCTAACATCACATTGGAGTTAGAGAGTTTTCTTCCCAGATTTTGGATGACAATTACAAATACAGGGCATATTTTAAGCCTTGTTCTGCTGCTGGAGTGATACCTCTTTTCTCTCTCTCTTTCACAGACAGACATTTTTCCATTTGTGTGTCATTCATGTCAATCTTGTTTCTGTCACAGATCTTTGCAGTTCCACAACAGCCTTATGCAGAGAGCAGGGCAGCATCATGGCTCGGTCTGTACCCAGAGCAATGGAACAGCCCCTCTCTCAGCATTTTTGCAGTAAGAACATGTAGACAAGGAGCAGGGGCCTTATGGAAGTGGGAGGTAGCTTGGGGAAAAATATAAGCCAAATATAAGACAATGTTAAGCAGAATATGGACATTGGTTTCAGCATGTCAGAGGCTTCTCTTGTCCTGCTCAGTGAACCCAGCAAGAAAAGCAGGAGGGATGAAGATATGCTTACTGCATTTGCCCAAAATCCTGTTGGTGCTCTGGCTGGAAGTCCTTGAACAGACTGCTTGTCTCTGGGCATCTTCCATGCCCTCAGTCTGGTTTCCCCCACAGAAAGTGGAAGTCAAGCACGAAACCTTCAGCTTGCAGCCGTTGCTTCCTCTTATTTCATATGTGTCTCCATTGTGTGTTCTTTGTGAGTAAACAACAAAGAGAAGGAAGAACAGCTATGTAGGGAACATAATGTGGGGATCAGTAATACTGACTGTGGCCTCAGTGCTTTTTCCATTGGGTATTTTTATTTTTTTCCTTCTGTGCAAACAGCGTTGTTTTCTACCAGCTGAAGAGTCGTTAAAACGATGACAAAGCTGGAGAAAGGAAAGGGTCTTAGAAGACCTTCCTATAATGTTAAGGAAAGAGAATCATATGAATTAATGAGAATGATTTATCTAATACTGTGCATTTCTTGTGCCGTATCTTTTGTTTCTTTCTTGGCTTACATCTGCAATAAAAATCTGGAAGATTTCAGCGACCACCATTGTAAAGGGATTGTCCTGGGATGACATTTCAAAGTCCTCCCCACACCATCTGTTTCATGTTGGAAACTGAAATAAAGAATTTATTAGCTTCTCACATGGTTTTGGTCCTAACTCCCATCCCTCCTCCCATCTTCTTTCCTCACAATCTTTCCAACATCAGCCAGCCTTGGAGTTAGTTTCTGGATAGACCAAGGCAGTATTTTCATGTTTTCATACTGTTCCAAGCCCGCTCTTCTTCCATGGCTCACTTGGATGGATGGCCATGCCTGCAGGACTCCCATGTGTGGCAGTGGGCCAGCTCCTTGCAGGACAGACACTGATGTGAAGATGATCTAATACTTTCCAAGGGAAGTACGTCTCTTTTCCACAAGTTGCCCGGCAGCCATCAGTTTCTGTTTCCCCACTGGGGAACTGGGTTTATTGTACCCTCTTTACTGAGTGGGCCACAGGGGAGCAGAAGGTATCCCACCACCCCTGCCCCAAGGGAGCATCTGTCCCATATGGAAGATGACATGGATAGTGGAGCTGAACTCTTCAGATGGACATTGAAGAGGACGAGGGCCCTCTGGCCCTCAAGCTGAGTGGGCAGATCTTGGAGGGAGGTAGGAGGAGGGACATTTGTCATGCTGTCCCCATTGCAGCACGCTGCCCCATCCTGACAGCACAGCCTTCAGGAGGTGCTGCTGCTGCTGCTTTGGGTGTCTGGCGAGAAACGAGAAGTGCTCGAGTGCAGGCGGGAGGTTGGGAGGAGGGCACAGGCTGTGCAAGCACTGCCGCTGCTTTCAGCAGAAGAGCCTTTCACCTGCTGGGAGCTGCCCTTGGCAAGGCGGCACTGGGTTTTTTGGATCCTGAAAATGAACTTCGGGAGGATTTTCCTTGTCAAGTGCTTGCTGCTTTTGTTTCCCAAAGCAAAATGTAAGTCTTCATTAAGATCTTCAACTTTTTTTTGTATGTGCTACTGTTGTTAAAATTGACTTTAAACAATTTACAACTTGGTGGGATGTTACTGATGAGAAACTAGTTCCATTTTCCCAATGGGTGAGGTGACTGGAGAGTCTCTGAGTTGTGCATATTATTACTTGATTTCATTTTCATCCAGGAGAAGAGGGCAAGACCCGAATTTCCCATTTCTATTATAACAGTAAGCTGTAAACAGCTCTGGTTTTAAGTTAATGAGCTATAATTTGACACGTGTGTAACAAGAAATATCAGCATGCAATTTTCTCTCTGCCTTTGAGGTAGCTTGTAGTACATTAGTGATCTACTTCATGGTGCATTGTGCACAGCCATTATTACATGTAGTTACCTTTTCTTATCAATGATGAGCAAATCTTCTGAAAGTGCAAATTATATTCTTCCCTAAATATTAACAGAAAGTGTGTAGTATCTCAGTGTCATCAGTGGAGCTCAAGGATAGGATGCGAGAACAGTAAGCAAATGCCTGCTTACACTGCTCTCATTTTTAAAGTATTAATCTAAAAACTTAATTAAGGTGTCTTCTTCTCTCTAATCTATGAGTTAACAACACAGCTACACACAGATATTTTTTCCTCTGTTCATTCCACTATAGATTGATTGTATTCTTCTTCCTCCAGAACAAAATTAATTGGAGAATAAGGAATTTCTGTTTGGCATGTGATGTATTTCCTCCCAAACAGAAATGAAGTTCATTCCCTTGAATGGAAAATGGGTTTCAGATTTACCTGAAGCAGTGAAACAGAAGATTCCTTACTTCTCTAATGTTACTTTTTGGAACTTTTTCTTTTTTTTTGACTTTTCCTTGTGGCTGCAAATGGGCTCTACGCTGCCAGCTCTGATCTTTCTGCCTCTTGAAGAGCATTTCAACTGACATTAGCAGAACTGCCATTTCCTCAGTTAAGCAGATTTGTAGTATCACATGTGTGGAATCCTCTGCTTTCCATTAGATCCATGGGATCTCCCTCGGGATGTGTCGTGGCAGTCAGTCCTTAGAGATGCCACCGGATTTTCCTTGAAAACTTAGATGTTTTTCTCCATACTTTTGGATAGAAAATATAAATGTGCGCATCTGTTACGCAAAGGCATCCTGTTCCTAGCTCTAACTACTTGTGATGGAGCAGAGACAGGTACTGGGACCCAACCATTTGGGTCCAACCCATGGTGCCATGTCTGTGGAAGATAGCTGCTGCCCAGACTGACAGCATGGCTGCAGAATGTTTCATTTGATGCATCAAATGCCTCATGTGATACTGAACTAAGAACCTCGCCTCAGTCTGGGGTGGAAACACATCAGTATTCACTTCCTTGTAGCAGAGACAAAATATTTTGACTCTTTGGTTATCTCTAATATTGTTAGTTTGCTGAAACAGCAACTGGATTTCAGTTGCCCCTGTAGTTTATCATTGTGGAATAATGGATTATACACTACAGTAAAAAGTGCATAAGCACAGCATTGTCTGTAGGAAAAACTGCTTGAAATCTGTCAAGTTAGAGCAGAATCGTCTCTCTCTGGTATTTGGGAGGAAATCCCCCACCTGCCCATCGGTTTTATCCTACAGATGAAAGAGGAATGAATATAGATAAGGAACAAGTTGCAGTTCAGAATGAAAGTTTTTAGTAATGAACATATTCCACCTCACACTTCTAAATGCTTTTTAATATCTCCTCTACAACTTTTCCACTGGCAGCTGGGGTGCAGGCGTTGCCACACTGAGGTGACATCTCTGGATGTGTTCCAGAACCACGTAAATGTGGCACTGAGGGACATGGGTTGGTGGGCGTAGTGGGGATAGGTGATCTTAGTGTTCTTTTGCAACCTTAATGACAGTATGATTCTATGTCAAAACATGCCTCCAGAAGCACGGTTCCCCAGAGCCATGTCTTCAGGGGCTGCAAAGCAGCCTGCAGCATGAAGGGCGTGGGACCAGGCACAAAGGGAAGAATGAATGACGTCCTGAAGTGATGATGTGTTTTACTTCCCACAGCCATTTCTGACTATCACCTTTACTCTGAGTGCCAAGTCCTGGCAGCACTGCTGTGCAGTGCCCCTCCTCTCGCCTATTTTGCAGAGGGGATGTACAATCAAAGGGCACCTGTCACGAGAAAAGGCCTTTTTTTGGTCTTTGCTTATCTCCCAACATCGCCTGTGCCTCATAAGCTCGCAGGCTGTGGTTAGCTGTTTGTTTCTCCCCCTTGCTTTCCCATACTGTGATGCTGTGCTAGAAACATGGGGTAGATGCACTGTGGAGCAGCACTGCGACTTACATACCTGCATCTTCCTCCAGTTTGGTGTCATGTGCTCACTTCTTGACACAGACACCTCTTTTAGGCCGCTGTTTTTATCATTGTTGCCATCACTGTTGCTGCTGAAGTGACCCCACGATCCAAGGCCTCCACAAGCTTGCCGCTCACCGTAATAATGACAGCAACGATTGCTCTGCACATCAGCCTGTGCCAAGAGCTAAGCCTGCCCAAATGACCTTATTTGCAGGAGGGGTGAATTTAGAGGAAAGGCTAAGTCAGGGCTTGAAGCAGTGATTGAGCACCTGGTGGGAGCTCACTTGAGTGACCAGAAGGTGGAGGCAGGATCCACCCCTTCCCAGATCTCATTTAAGGGCTGGAAGTGGAGGTGAGAGCATCTCATCTGGAGGTCTCTGTCTATTTGAGGACCTTACAGGTTTTCTAAAGGTAGCTTGCTCCTTTCTTATTTTTCTTTGCCTACTGCTGTTGTATTTGAGTGGATCTTCCCTGGCCTGGGATCTTGCTGGTCTACTGTTATTGTTGTGCTTTCTGTCATGTTACAGTGGAGTCCACAGGCAGCCAAGAATCTCAGCAGTCAAAATCACAATGAATAAATCATCCACAGGATAAAGCCTGCTTCTGTAAATGTGACTTTCAAATTCCTCAGAATTAATTTGGGTACTGATGAGCTGACAAACAAACAAGGGGAGATCTGGAGTATTGGAAAAAAATGTGAAGAGAGGCTTTAAGAATCTGAGTGGGTGGAAAATGAAACCCTTTGGATCATGGCACTAGATACTAGGAAGGATCTCACCTCACCGTTGTGAGGGTGGTGAGACACTGGACAGATTGTCCAATAAGGTTGTGGATGTCCCTTCCCTGAAAGCATTCAAGACTAGGCTGGATGGGGTTTTGAACAACCTGCTCTAGTGGGTGGTGTCCCTGTCTTTAGCAGGAGGTTGGAGCTAGATGATCTTAAATGCCCCTTCCAACCCAAAGCATTCTTTGATTCTATGGCTGTGGTTGGTGAGCAGGGCAGTAAGGACTGTTTAGGATGAACTGACAGATGGATTGTGCTTATCTTTGTAGGTACCAGTACCATAAATTACAAGGCAGTGAATGAGACAGCTCTACTCAGTTTCACTGCTGAAAACACGCACGAGATATTGTGGAGCAGAGACAATGAGAGGCTGCTTCAGATGAAAGACAAAAAAATTAAATATTATGTGGAGAAGACGCAGTGTAGGTGCAAGGTGCTCCTCAATGGGACTCTCCGAATAGAGCGGCTGGTGAAAGAAGACAGTGGGATATACAAGGTGTCTGCATATGACAAGAATGGAAAGCTGAAGGCAAATGAAACAATAGTGCTCATCGTTTTGGGTGAGTTCTTGCTCTCTCCATACCAATCCAAGGATGTCTCACTTTGTTAAAGGCCTTCACTGTGAACTGCCTGCAGATTAAGGAAGTCGTTGGGGCCTTATTCATGCTTTAAGGCAGTGAACTGTCATTAGGGTTACCTGAGTTTAATTCCAGGCTAAGGTAATAGATAGCAAGTTAACCATGTGCTGCATCGCTTCCCTACTCTGCAGCAGAGATCTTGCCTTACTGCTGGTACACAGCTGTGGGAGTAAAACCCTTCAGTTGGGTGCTAGTATCAATTGTCATCCAGTTCACATACTGCTACTGGAGTTGGAAAGACAGCTGTTCTGAAGAGAAAGAAATAGTTGAGATGGTGACACCATCACACCAACATGACCTGTACTCTGGTGTTTCACACAAGGGCTTTCCTCCAAAAGATGCCCTACAGCTTGCAGAAGGGGAGTGGGTTAATGAGGGAAGGGAGGTGCCTTTCCTTGTTATAGTGTGCACCTAGTTTGTGGCTCTTTAGAAGGTAGGAATAGAGCTTTTTTCCATCTGATGCCTCTGTCAGTTTTCCCTGTCATCAGTGTCAGAGAATCCAGCACCAAAAAATAGTTCCTTGTAGGACACAGAGAGATAGAAATCAGCTCCCTCTGTCATAGCCTCCTTGGAGCCGAGTGCTCTGTTTTGTTCTGTTCTCTGTTGTGATGTGTTTTCGTGCTGTGGCTGTCATGCAAGCTGAGTGCCTTTGGCAATGCATAAAGCATCATAAGTAGCTGTTCTATCTTGGAGGAAATTTCTTCTGATGGGTACAGGCAGATCAGAGCTAATTGCATTTGTACCAGAACACTGGGGCAGGAGTTATAGGGCTGTCTCCAGCCTTCCTTATTCACATCCTCTGCCCCAGAACACCACTTTCTCCCATGGCCATGAGCCAGGAAAAGCCTGGAGATCATCTGGCTCTGTAACGCAGCTCTCCTTTGCTGAAGTGCTTTTAGGTGCTCTCCAGATCTGTTGGAGCTCCACACTGGGGGCTTCTCCCCAAATTAGTCAAGGAAGTTATAAAATGGGTGGAAAATTCCCCTCAGAGCAGTGAGGCAGTGGCACAGGCTGCCTGGGGAGGTGGTGGAGTCACTGACACTGAAAGTGTTCAAGAACAGTGTGGATGTGACACTGAGGGATGTGATTAGTGGGAATGCACTGGCGGTCAGACTGGGTGATCTTTGTGATCTTTTCTAACCTTAATGATTCTATGATTCTATCCCTTCAGGTTGTGCTTAGTATGGTTAACTAGCTGTAAGTCAAATGCACTTATGATGTTAACTACAGATATTTCTATTCAGAAGCAGAACGGGGGATAAAAATCAGATTTCAAATCATGGCAATGCTGTGGTAACAGTGGGTTCTGGAGGAGATACAGTGTAGTTACTCTTGTTGGCACAAACAATTCCACTTTGTTTGAGGAAGAGACACCTTCCACGGAACTGAGGAGAGAATGGAAAGAGACAAAAAGATCAAAAGTGTGTTAGGATGAAAATGTAGGCTAATAGATGACATTTTCTTTATAACTGCTGAGTTGCTTCTGCAGTGGAAGTCCGATTTGTTCTTATTCTTCTCTGGTCTCATTAGGTGGTGCTACTCCATCACTGCAATTCCTAGCTCTGCTTCACAATGGAGACCTTCAAAAGGAGAAACATCATCAGATCTGTCTGTCCTTTATTTTTTTCAGAGCCTGTCCCTCAGCCAATCCTCAATGCTGAATGCATTAATAAAACCCTATATGTGAAATGTACAGTGAAGAAGACTGAGAACCAGGTGTTTACAATAGAATTGACTCAAGATAAAATCAATAAATCACAAACGAATGTAACAGAGGTGGAATTTACTACTCGACACAGTGGGAGATACAGATGTATTGTTAAGAATCAAGTCAGCAAAAAAACAACTGAGAAGGAAATAAAGTGTCCAGGTAAGAAGTCCACTTTTACCAGAATCAGCTAGGACTCAGCTACAGCACTTCAAGTAGTTGTGTCTATCTGCAAGGTTGATCTGGAACCCACAAGCAGCCATGGTTCCCTGTATGCAGTAGTGAGTGCTGATGCTGGGTTTTGATTGCATGCAGCAGTCTGTGAGAGGCAGAAAACATCTTTCCCTTTTTGTTTTAAAGGGATAAAGGTAGTATAGAAACAAGTGATGCTTGCTGAGGGATTATAGCCAGAGACCATTACAGTAAGACAGCATAAAGCTACCAAAGAGGGTAAGCTACCACAACAAAAATTAAAAGCTTTTTCTTGAAAAATGTGCCTTGGGATCTTCTTGTTTTCAGGGTATTTGCTCTTTATTTACACCCTTATGGGGGGAAAATGACTTGCACGTTGTTTTCTTCCTCTCCATGCTCATACCTATAAAGGTGGTGGCTGTGTGCTACCAGTGGATATGCATGGTTGCTTCGATTTTCCTCCAAGAGAGTTTTTGCAGTATTCTTCAACATTGTTTCACACTGCAGTGAGGACCAACAACTTTTTTCTGTGTACAGAGAAAGGGCAGAGGAGTGGGTTCTCTAACTAGTGCTGCTTTCATTTCAATGGCAGGAAGATACAAAATTCTAGGTTGGTGTTACACAAGCTATTTCTTCTCCTCTAACATCCTCTTTATTCTCTTAACTAGGCCAGCTGGAGCTCTATCTCATCTCATGCATAGCAGGAGGTGCAGTATTCTTTGTTGTCTTTGTGATTTTGCTTATTTATTGCATCAGGAAGAAAAAAGCAGATAGGCTTGAAGATGATGGTAAGTATTCAAAGGCTTTAAGTTCTGTCCAGCCACCTCATCTTTGGCAAGTAGTGAATCTCAGTGCATCAGCTGCTATTGTCAGTCTTGGTTTCAGACATATACTTTGAACAAAAGGCTTTTTGTTCTCAAGCCCTTGTTTATCTATGTAGAAAGAAAGGCTGCTCTAATCCTTGGCCAGGGCCACCTGTCATGAACATCCATGGGGCTAAACATACAATTAAATATCTGTCAGGAGATTTTTTTCAGTAAACTTATACAGTATAAAACTAGGATCTCTGACATTGTTAGTCACCTTTGGAAACACTGTATATAAGGAGAGGGCAAGAACTCAACTTTTCAGGGGGTTTCCTCAAGCATCTCTTGGCACTTTTTCTCTCTGCAAAACAGTGTTGCTGGAGGCATATCAACACTGGAGGTCCAGCTTGAGGCGCTTAAAAAGTCTATGGGCAGAGTTCTCATCTGTTGTCCAGAATTCAAGCCTCTTTAAGAAAATATGCTGCCAGAGTTACCTCTCAGTGCAGGCTCACTCTTAATAGAGTTGTTGCCTGGGATTGCAGCTTGGTTATTGCCCCTAGTTTAGGTGTGCAGAGGATGCTGAGCTGACACTCAGGAAGAGCTGGCTGGCTCACTCAGAAGAGGAAGCTCAAGTATGAGGGAAGATCACTCTGAGCTGGGGCAGCATGTTGGTATTGAAGGCTTGTTACACCCACATGCTTGTCAGACTTGCTGTATGATCTTCAGTAGCACCTAGGCTCTGTGTGAGTGCTTGAACTACAAAATGTGAGAAGACATTCCGTTGCACAGCAGTATTTGTCAAAGTAAAAAGGGTAATGTTTGAAAGAAACTCCAGCTGATACCTTAAAGGTGCCTGTGGTCAGTCTGACAACAAAGGTTAGCATGATGCTTCCCATGGCTGAGGGTAGAACTTCAGTATGGCTAACTCATTATGGCCCCCTCACTTTCCCTGAGGCATCACCACAAGGACTGGGCAAGTGTTTTCCCTGTCCTCTAGGAGAGTTCATAACAGTGCAACCATGGGATGTTGCCTTAGAAGACTTGGCACATCTTATGAGCAAAATGCCAGTGTGAGCAAAGCCACTAGAACTTTGCCTTTCAATATGGCTATTCTTGATGTTCTTTGTCAAGGGAGTAGCTTACCCCATTCAGTGCGGTGACAGCACCTCCTCAGTTTTTGAGTCTGGATTAAAGAAAGGAGGGAAATCTGGGATGATAAGAACTAAAATAAGGTGGCTGGTTTCTTTGAAACAGGTTGGTGTGTAAGGTTATTTCAGCACCCCAAGAGGTAAATTTTTCAATCCTAAGCTAAAATGACTGGCATATCACAAATGATGAGTTAATGATCAAGAGTAAGATGGCATGAATTTAATTCTACCTGCTGGAAAATTCATGCTAGCAATTTCCAAGTCCCTGGAAATCTTCATGGCAGACAGTGGCAGAGCAGGGCTTTTGTGTTGCTACCTGCGGGTGTGACCGATTTCATAGAATATCTGGGGTTGAAGGGGATCTTAAATCTTACTCAGTCCCAACTCCCTGCCATGGGCAGGGCTGCCCTCCACCAGCTTAGGCTGCCCAGGGTCCTATCCAACCTGGCCTTGAGCACCTCTATGAATGGGGTACCAAAGATTCTCTGGGCAGCGCCTCACTGCCCTCTGCATAGAGAGTATCCAAAAAAGAACAGAGAAGCTCAGGCTGAGAGTGTCTATCAGTGACCAGAGAAGGCAGTAGTGTCTTCAGGTGCATTGACCTCTGCTTTGGGGCTGCTGCAAAACTTTGAGAGCTGCCTGAGTGTGTGAATGACAGTGACTTTAGTTGTTTGCAGGACAACCTGAAAGTGACAGTGCCCTTGCAGGTAAGACCAATATATATATTTTTAATTCTATGGTCCAAACTCTTTTCCTTTGCTGTTGGATTTCAGTAAGAACATTGCCTCCTGCTTAGATGTAAGTAGGTGCTTGACTGCTGTGGCCTCCTGTTGTTGCAGATGAGGAAAGGATGCAGATCCACCAAGTGGACACAGAGATGGCAATGCGGAAGCTCCCTCAACCACCATCCAACCCTATCCCCCAGCAGACCTGTGTGCAGCAGACGCCTCCTCCACAGCCATGTATACAGCAGCAAGCAGTGCCCCCACAGCCCAGGCCACGTACCCAGCTGAGAGAGAGGCACTGAGTGTCTGTCATGGGGGATGGAGGGCTCTTTCTTATGGAAGAAGAAAGTTTACAACAGTCAGGAACTTCTTCCACCCAGGCTTATGTAGCACTCAGCTACGGAGCTGCAGAAGATTAGGGAGAGCATCAGGTAACTGGAGTTGAAGAGACACAGTGGAGGAGATTGAAGATGATGAGATCTGAGGCCTCTTTTCTTCAAGTGACTCTATACTAATGTATAGACTACTGACACCTGCGTCTTTCTGTGGTTCACTTGTTTTTACTGCAGCTTGTTGTTGTCTTGCCTTCCAGATGGGTTATATCAAAAAGTGAGAGTCTTTCTGAGACAATGTGGGCTTGTGGATCTTACCTGGTTTTATCACATAGCTTTTCATTCTTTTGCTGTGCATTAGAACAGCCCTCTGGTTTCAACATCAGATGCGTGATCTCCTAAACAGAACAATAATCTGTATATAATTAATTAACTGGTCTGATGTTGGAAGAATTGGTGCTGTCCAACACAGAACAGTAAACAGAAAGGAGATGTGATGGACTTGAAGCATGCACATGTGAAAAATTGTAAGGGGGAAGGAGTATATCCTTCATTTTCTCTACTGCTTCAGCTCAGTTCCTGTGCTTCTTCACTGGCAAGTAAAATGAAACAATTTTCCCTATAGATCTGTTTGGCTTGTCAGGTAGCTTTTTTTTCTTTTTTTTTTTTTTGTCACAGAACAGGCCATTGGCTCCTACAAGTAGTATTTCAAACTGCCAAGCAGCCTCCTTAACAGTGCTGTTTTCTGAATTGACACAGCTTCCATCACCAGCCCACCTGTCTGATGACCAAGCTCCCTGATTTTTTTTCTGGTAAGCACCTCATGATTGCTGGTGAGTACCAGGTGATTACAGAAAACTGCTGAGAGGCCTCACTCTCCCAAAGGCAAAGGTGCATGCCTGGACTGCAATAACTATTCCTGCATCACTCTCCATGTTCTGGCCAAACACCCCTTGCTCCTCTGGCCCTTGAGAATGTTCTGTCAGACAGCTGAGGAGCTAAGAGAGGACATGCTTTCTTCAAGCAATGTCTGAATGGATAAACTGGTTCATCTGGTGTAAAAGTCAGCAGAAGGGGAGAGCTGCCAGAGCAAAAGATGTCCAGATAGCATTTTGTTGCAATAGGCAGAAGGATGTGCAGTATGCCTCTTCGAGCTGACTCTCCTGCTTGTGTCATGGCAGTTAAATAGACTTCTTTTTGTTTCTCCTCAGAAATGTGACTGTTTTTATCTTCTGGAATGAGGGTGGAGAAGTAACTTGTCAGGGTGAGCAGGGGATCTCTACCTCTCCCAGAGCTCGGTCACTCTGCTTCAGCTCCAGAGGGGATGCAATGATGGGAGGATCACTTGTTCTTGGCTTAGCTTTCTGCAGCTTGTTTTAGGGTTTTTACTACTTGAAATTGCATTTGGTAAATATTTCCTGGTTTACTTAATAATATAAGTTACGTACCTGCAGTGAATGAATAAAGACAAGAGTGGGTGTAAAGGGCTTCAGCTCATACCTTTGCTGACATCCCTTTGAAATCTCCCTTTGGTACAGAGAAGACAGGAAAAACACTCTGGTCAATGAGCCACAAGACCTTGAATGCAGGAGGTGTCACATACAGTACCTTCCAGGGCTCTCTGTTACGTATTGGCTCTTCTTTTAACATCACTGCCACAGTGCCTTCTGTGCCATAGACTAAACAGAACTGCAACAGTGCTTTTGAGATGCTCCTTTCCCATTGGCCTTGCTCAGCTTCTGTCATGTTGGCTAGGCCAAGGGACCTGGCACCTGAAGTTACTTGGTAGGTATCTGTAACTCTGTTCCTTGTGTCTGGTGTCTTTTTTCAGCCCATGAGGATGGTTGTGCAGAGCCTGGGGCACAGGCTGTGCTGGCAGCTCCCTGGTAGGCAGCCCTGCAAAATGCTGCCAGCTGTTCTTGGAGCTTGATGCCTATGCTGCAGCTGTGCTCCTGCTCTGCAGTTGACCTCTCCTTGAAGTATCCTGCTAGCCTGAGTCCTCTGCCTGATTCCTCTTGCTGGTTTCTGAATTACTAGGCAGGGAAGTTCTCCATGCTGTGATCCTAGCTGCAGCAGACGTGGGGGCTGCAGGGTTTGGTTTCAAATCCTCATTTACTTCCTCAGCCCAGAGAGCCGTGGTACTGCATTCAGCCTGAGTGTGGGCAGCATTCCCTGTTCCGTCCCCTTAAAGCACAAAACTCTCCTGAGTCCCTCTCCGCTGCTGCCTTCCTCTCCCTGGGGCTGATCACAGAATGGCTAGGGTTGGAAAGGACCTCAAGGATGATGAATCTCCAACTGCCTGCCACATGCAGGGCCATCAACCTCCCCATTTAATGCTAGACCAGGCTCCCCATGACCCATCCAATCTGGCCTTGAACACCTCCAGGGACAGGGCATCCACAACCTCTCTGGGCAGCCTGTTCCAGCATGTCATCACTCTCTTTGTAAAGAATTTCCCCCTGACATCCAACCTACCTCTCCCTTCCCTCAACTTAAAACCATTTCCCCTTGTCCTGCTGTTATCTACCCTTCCAAAGAGTTGATTCCCCTCCTGTTTGTAGGCTCCCTTTAGGTACTGAAAGGCTGCGATGAGGTCACCCCGCAGCCTTCTTTTCTCCAGGCTGAACAAGCCCAGCTCCCTCAGCCTGTCTTCATAGGGGAGGTGCTCCAGTCTCCTGATCACCTTTGTGATGCTGATACTGAGGTGACGCTTGCCACAGCACCAAGCATTGGGGCAGCTGAGGCAGTGCAAGGGGATGCTGGCCCAGCAGTACCTTGGTTCTTTAGGCAAGGGACTGCAGCAGGAAGCTAACTCTTGCAAGTGGGAGGCAAGAAGCTTTTCTGCTCTCGGCTACAAAATTGGGTTAAACCATACCCATAAGGGCAGGCTCCAGACCCTCCTGGACTGCATCAAAGACATGTGGCCAACAGGTTGAGGGATGTGATCCTGCTACTCTGCTTGGGTGAAACCACAGCTGGAGTGTTGCATCCAGACGTGGAGTCCTCAGTAAAGGAGAGACGTGAATCTGTTGGAGTGTGTCCAGAGGAGGGCCACAGAAATGATCCCAGGGATGAAACGCCTCTCCTATGAGGACAGGCTGAGAGAGCTGGGGCTGTTCAGCCTGGAAAAGAGAAGGCTCTGGGAAGACCTGAGAGCAGCCTTTCAACATCTAAAGGTGAGGCTATAAAATGAAGGGGACAGAGTCATTAACAAGGTCTGTGGTAATAGGACAAGGGGAAATGGTTTCAAACTAAAAGAGGGGAGTTTTAGACTGGACATAAGGAGGAAGTTTTTTTTAATAATAAGGGTGGTGAGGCACGGGAACAGGTTGCCCAGAGAAGTGTTGGATGCATGGTTCCTGTCCTGGAGACAAGGCTGCCAGATGATACCCATCACAGTGTATAAGTAAAGTGGCACATATCTCAGTGCTGCCCTTCATTTTGTTGCTGCAACTGTGAGTTGCAGCCTTTGACCTTGCTGCAGTCCACCAACGTTTCCTCTGGGATGTCAGGCTTTCCAGCTAAACCTCTTGGTTAGGTGCTGAGTAAAAAGAGCTGAGTAAAAAGAGCTGAATGTTGCCTTGTTGGGTGGCACAGGTAGGCATAGGATTATGAGCACGTAGTACCCCACACAACGGGAATCTCATCAGGGCAGTGCTTACGTTAGCTTCTGTCACCTTTTCTTTAGTAGTCACTACTGTTTTTATGGTATCTCATGTTTGTTTCAATATACTGTAACAGGATATTTGCACATTCCCAAGTTCTGCTTGATGCCTCTGAGAAAAGTCAGCCATTTTTTTCTGAACATACGTCACAGAGCATTCATGTCTTCGGTTTTTATGCTGCAGAGAACATATCAGTTCTGGAAAATAGCAGACATCAAGACCTAAGAAATAACAGGAAGTGCTCAGCTCTGATGATCCTTGCTGTAGCCGTCCCTGGCTGTTTCATAGATATGTCTATCAGTGAACAACACAAGATAAAGAGTTTTTTCCCTATTCTTCCTATGAAGGATGAGACAAGAGTGCTGATGTGCAGAGCTGCACTCTGCAATTACACTGGTCTGTCCTCCCTGGCGTGAGAGATGCAGTATGTGCTTTCTAAGTGTTAGCAGGAGTCAGCTTTGGTTGGTGTTGGAGAACAGGAACCGGTACTGAAAGTATGGGAGGAAAGTGCAACGCCATGCTCAGAGCAGGGTGGTTATTGTGTTGTGATCCTGCAGTGCTCACCAGCTGTGTAGTCTGAATAGGCACCCAGAAAAGTAGTGGTTGGCCCTTGTAAATCCAATCCCTATTTCAAGCTGCTTGACGTGAGCAGCACTTGCTGCCTAAACCTAGGCTTTGTGGTCAAGTATATGAGACCTTAGCAATTGCCAGGGGGCTCCTGCTTCTAGCACATGCCTGGACTGGAGCCAGTCAGATAATTTCAGTCCTAAAATAAAATTTTGAGCCTGTTAAATGTCAAGTAGGAGACTGGGGATAGTAAATGTCTTTTTTTGGCATGCTTTTAAAAATAATGCCATGAGGGAAAAGGCATCCCTCACAGTCTGCATCAAATTCTCAGGCTTTGATATGGAGATCAACCTCAGCTGGGACTGTCTTGCCCATCAGCCCTCTTCTCTATTCTGATAAATAAGGCTTCTATGCTTCAGCTGTGCTGAAACCTTGCAGCAGGCTCAAGAAATGCTGAATTTGACTTTCAAACTGTAGTCCTCTGTGTGCCATGAATGATAGGTCAAAGCAAAGCTCTGCAAATACTACTTGCAAGTGCTGGCCATGCAAGTGGGATGTCAGAGATGTGGACAAAACAAGGACAGAGAAATGGCTCAAGTTGATTATTGGTTTCTGCCTGCTGTTGTAAGCAGCGCCAGCCTCAATACCACCCTGTTACCTCATGTGCCTTTGTTCTGGGTGATATTGTTAGTAGTATCTGTCTCCAGTGCCCCTGAAATGCAGGTTTTAAGGTAGCAGGCAGATGAGAACCCCACAACAAAGAAGCCCTCCACACAGCAGCACTCATTGGCCACATTTCTCACACACTTTCTCTGCCTTGTTCTAAAAGAAGGAAGGCATTTCATACTGCTGCCCTCCCACACAAATACCCACTTTCACTCCAAGCCCTTCTTAGTGTCCCAGGGTAGGTGAGCAGGCACAGGGGGACTGTGGGGTACAAGTATAGCCTGTGGGCAGCCTGATATGCATACCTGAGCCTCCTGCTCCCTGGTGAGGTGGGACACCTGTGCCTGCTGCTGAATGTTACACCTGCTGGGATAGGCTGGGACTTCTGTGGTTGACTACCGGGCTCAGACACATCCCTTTTCTTCTGCCTGATGTGAGGTGATGTTTCCTATCAAGAAAAAGGAATGAAATAGAAGTGTGTTGCCTCACTGCAGCTGTGCTTTATTTCATTTCCAGTCTCCTGGAGGTGTTACAGCTGTTCAGCAAACCACCTGAGGGAGCTGTGTCTCTGAGAATGGCTGTATGGCTGCGGGCTCTGCAGCTGATGGGCATGCAAGGCTTGGGGTGATTGCAAGGCTGACATGCTGCAGGCACTCTTGGTGCTAAATCTGGTTTTATGTGGCTTCACTGTGATTTCAGTAGCCAGTGCAAATCAAATCACTGAATGA